ACCTCAGTGGGTACCATTCGCAAGAACTTCCCCAACGCAACAGAGTGCAAGCTCCCGTGCCGGGGGAAGGTCGTGGACGGCAGCGCGGCCCAGCACTTGCCGAGGCACTCCGTCATGCATCTGAAGCTTGCAAGCGGAGACGGGCCAGACTTCTGGCTTGACGGGGCTCAGTTTCAGAATGTTAAGCGCAGCGACTTCTGCCCAGCGCGGCTCGCCACGCACGCGCAGCCCTCGGACAAGGACAGGGGCGCAGATGCGCAGGAGCCGCCGAAAACGAAGGGGTGGAAGCCGGCCACGGGAGTCAAGTACGAGCTTCGCGACACGCACGAAGTCCACTACGAGCCGATGCCGATCGAGATCATCGCGAATGGCGAGGCCGCCGTCTTCGACTACACCAGGCCGCACCTGCAGGACGTCGCGGGCGACGGCAAGGACGCGCGGCACCCCGTGCCACCGCAGGGCGGTGGGCAGCGACGAGATGGACATCGAGAAGAAGGCCAGGGCGCCTAAAGGCGCCTCTGGCTTTGCAGCCCACTAAGTGGGCAGAGTGAGCAGTGTGGCTCCCAGGTGGCAACTCAAGGGAAAGGGGGGGGGAGGGAGAGGACGATGGAGGAAGGAGGGAGGAAGGGAGGAGGAGCCACGAGCACACGCGTCGCACGTTTCTGGCCAGCAGCGCCACGCAGACGCATATATTAATAATATATAATATATATATTCTCTCTCTCTCTCTCTCTCTCCTCTCTCTCTCTTCTCTCTCTCTCTCTCTCTTTTGCTCTCACTCATCCTCCTCTCGTCTCCCTCCTCTCTAATTCTCTCTCTCTTTTTTTGTTTCTCCATCTCTCTCCCTTCTCTCTCTCCCTCTCCTCTCTCTCCCTCTCCTCTTCTCTCATCTTTCCTTTTCTCTCCTCTTCCTTTCTTCTCTCATCTCCTTCTCCTTCTCTCTGTCCATCTCTCCTCTCCACTCCTCACATCTCTCCTTTCTCATCTCTCTCTCTCTCTCTCTCTCTCTCTCTCTCTCTCTCTCTCTATCTCCCTAGTAGGTACATCGGAATTGCTACAGCCAAATCAAATCGGAGACGCCTGAGACAGTGCGGTGACCGTTTCCCCAGGGTCGCATTTTTACTTCCTCCTTCCACTCCTACCGCTCCTCCTCTTTGCTTCTGGCACTTGCTTTTTAGTGCCTTCTCTTCCGAGTCGCGCAGTAGGATCGCCCCCCTAGCGAAGCAGAGTTAGAGAGTGGAAAAAACGACAGAAAGATTCGTGTTCTGATTTGTCGGCGCTGGACTTTAGTAATCTTGAGGTCAGGGACGAAAGCGAAAACAATTGATTCAGGCCAAGGCTTGGTCAACCGAGTTTCTGGACAGAAAGCGAAAAGTCATGACATCGAGAGCTTCAGAGTAAACCAAACAACCCTTCAGGGAAAAAATAAATAACAAAAAATTGAACCTATAGAGCCGGTGATTCCAACATCGACCTTCAGAAATCGATAAAAAGCTATCCTGGGTGGCAGCCCCAGGAGCCAGGAGGAGGCAGAGTAGCCATCACTTTCCCCCTCCCCCAAACTGCTCACGTTGCACCCCTCCCCCCCCCTTACGCCGCTGCAGCGGTCTAGGATTATACCCAGTCCCCTAATTCAATCGCGAGGCGATCGCGCGCCATCGCGCGGATGGTATCGAGGTCGCGGCGCATCACGATCGCCTCGGCCAGCTGGACCGTGTTGATCTTCCAGTACCCCGGCCGAGGCGCCCCGCCGGCGCGCTTCTTCTTCCGCGGCGGCTGCTGCTGCTGCTGCGTGTTGCTGATGTGGACGGCTGCTGCTTCAGCAGCTGCGGCTGCGGCGGCTTCGGCTGAGGCGGCGGCAGCATCTGCGACTTGCTGCTGGCGCTGCTGATGCTGCTGCTGCAGCAGCTGATGCTGCTGCACGGCGGTCGCCAGCTGCGCCTGCCACTGCTGCTGCGTGTACGGCCACTGCTGCTGCTGTTGCTGCTGCAGCAGCTGCTGCTCGTGCCGCTGCTGCTGCATCAGCTGCTCACGCATCAGCTGCTCCTGCTGCTGCTGCCCGCGCAACTGCTCGCGCTGCAGCTCGTGCCACTGCTCCCACTGCTGATGCTGCTGCAGCAACTGCGACTCGTGCCACTGCCTGCCCTCCTGCGGGTTGACGGCCCCCCGCTGCGGCTCGCGCCACGGCGGTGGCTGCTGCGGCACGCGGTACTGCAGCGCCGCCGTCAGCATGCCCTGCAGCTCCGCAATGCCGACGACACCGTCGCTCATCACGGGCCCACGCGACTGCCCGACGCAACGCGGGCCTGCCCTCCGCTGACCTGGACACGACAGCTGCAGCTGACGCCCGCGATGCATGCGACGTCGTCTGCAGCCGACATCCGACGGGCGACGCGCACGACGGCGACGAACCACGGACGATATGCAATCACCCGAATGGAACGACTGACGACGAACCCACATTGGAGGGATGAAGGGGGGAGGGTGATTCACATCACTGCCCATCCACATGATGTGCCCCGCACCTCGTCCCATTCGCAATCCTCGACGCACTGACATCGCCCCTCACTGGCCCACCGTATGCTGCATCACTGCTGTTGCCCCGCGTCGTCGTCGTCCGTCGCCCTGCGTTGTTTGCCGCGCGCGCAGCGCAGCTGCGCCCCATCCCCCCATGCATGCACATATCCTATGCCTAAGCACCCGCGGCTGCGGCTGCAGCCGCTGCTGCGCGGCCACTTGCACCCTCCACCTGCCACGCGCGCGCGGGCGCGCGCGGCGCGGATCGCGGCGTGCCCCGCGTATTCAGGCTTGAACCACTTGTAGGTCCAGCCGCCCTCGCCCGACCGTCGCCTTGCGACGTGCGTGCTCCTCTTGCGGAGCCAGTGGATGCCGACCGCTCTGGGGGGCGCCGCCGCCGCAGATGCACCGCCATCGTCGCCGTCCTGGGCGCCGTCCTCGGCACCGCCCCGGGCGCCGCCCTCGGCGCCCGCGTCGCCGTCCTCGGGGCCGTCATCGGCGACCTCGTCGTCGTCCTGGGCGCCCGATCCCGCGAGCGCCGTCCTCGGCGCCGCCCTCGGCGCAGTCCTCGGCGTCCGCGAGGTCCTTGGGATGCCCAGCTGCAGCTGGAGAGCATACACAACCTAACCACACCAACGCACAAACAACTACACGTGCCCAGCTGCAGCTGGGCACCGCCCAACAACAATATCTGTCCTGCGCGGCCTGGGCGCGGAGGCGGGCGAGGGCGTCGGGCTCCAGCTCGACGAGCAGGGGCCGCCGCTCGTCGACGTTCTGCAGCACCCTGGCGACTCCGCCACCGCAGGCGACCTCCACGATGGGGAGGGAAGGTGCCCGCACCCACCATTGCCTTGTAGTCCTTCTGGGGGGAGGGGGGGGGGGGGGGCGCAGCTGCAGCTGGGTAACAAGCACTAACACCGAGCACCCATATCCTTGAGAAGCCTGCGCATCTTGTGGTCGCCGTAGGTGCTGATGTCGCCCCCCCGCGGCGCAGCCGCCTGCAGGCTCGCCTGCTTGCGCTTGCGCTTCAGCGAGTCCACCATCTTCCGCACCACCGTGCTGCGCTGTTCCACTAACCTCCAGTGGGAATGTCCTGGTGCCCACGCATCGGACAATGTAACCTTAGTAAAAGCAGCCCTGCCCACCGCGTAGGCCACTGCATACAATGACACATTAACCCCACCCAGACCGACCTACCCCGCGCGCGCGTCGGCCGTAGCAGACGCGTCGGTCGCGGGATCTATATACCTATACGACCACCCTGCGGGTGATAAGGAGGTTGGGGGGGGGGAGGGGCCGAGCAATCGGCAACAGTGGTGATTGTTCTCCTGACGATGCCAGTGGAGATTTTTTTTTCTCGGAGGCCTGCTGAGGCTCCTCTCCCTCCCTTTGCCGGGTTGCACATGGTGCAAATGCAATTGATGAGAACTGCTGCGACGGCGACGGCGGCGGCGTCCTGTCGGCGTATCCCTTTTTATGTAGACGGACCAACTCCAGGGGCCCAGACGCACCAGTTTTTCGATTCGCTTCCAGCCGCGGCGGCGAGCAGGGCCTCCGAGGGCCAGGAAACCTCGACCGAACCTCGGCGCCAACCTCAAAACGGAACCGGAACCCCTCCCAGGGGCCCGCGCCGGCGTCCTGTCGGCGTATCCCTTTTTATGCAGACGGCCGAACTCCACGGGCCCAGACGCCCCAGTTTTTCGATTCGCTTCCAGCCGCGGCGGCGAGCCCGCGCGGCCGCCCGAAGGAACGGGGCGCGCTCGGAGAGAGCGGCTGGCAAAGCCTAGCCTGTACTGGTGGGTGCACAGGGCCTCGCCCGCACGCACGGCACGCACGAACACGAAACCGAAATCGATTTCCCGGTAGGGGGGCTCTCCGTTCCACTTCGATCTCACCCCCCAACCTCCGATCACAATCGATATCACAAACGACGTCGTCATCATCATCATCAACATCAACATCATCATCATCATCATCATCATCGCCATCATCAACATCATCATCATCACCATCATCATCACCATCATCATCAACATCATCATCGGGACACCGACGGGACACCGACGGGACACCACCGGGACACCGGCGGGACACCGCGCGGCCCCGCGCCCCGGTGGAGAATCATTTGGTGCGGCCGCGCCTCAGCCACAGAGGACACCACCGGGACACCAGCGGGACACCGCGCGGCCCCGCGCCCCGGTGGATAATCATTTGGTCCGGCCGCGCCTCAGCCACAGGAGACTTTCCTCTCGCCCGCCCACGCAGCTTCGCCTCGCCCGCGCGCACGGCACGCACGAACACGAAACCGAAATCGATGTCCCGGTAGGGGGGCTCTCCGTTCCACTTCGATCTCACCCCCAACCTCCGATATATGTCCAGTTTTGAAACGTGAAGCGGAGCCGGGTGGAGAGAGAGAGAGCGCCGCATTCGTCTGTGCCTGCCCCGCTGGCATTGGGCTCAAAGCGCAAGCCGACGGCACTTCGATGGCCTTGGCCGCATGGCTGGCGGGCGAGGCGGTGCACGGCGCAGGGCAGGCCGCGCTGCTGTGGGCAGCCCGCGGTGAGTGCCCAGCCTGCACGTGCGCGCCGGCCCTCACGTGCGCCCCTGGCCAGGAGGCGGCGCGCGTGGACTGCCCAGGCGGGTCCCCAGGGTGGGCGCTGTCAGCGGTGGCCCTCGCTGGCGTGACTGGCTTCGCTGGAGGGCTCCTGGCCGCGCGGTGGCTGGGCTCCTGGCAGCCGATCGCTGGCCTCCCGCCTCAGCCCTCTTTGGAGGAGGAGGCTAGAGCGCAGGCGGCTGCAGTCAGAGCGCGGGCCTGTGCCTCGTGATGGCCAGCTTTGCAGCCGCCGCGGCGGCCAGTGGACACCCTTTGGCTCTGGACGGACTCGACGAGGGCGATTTCATCCTGGTGCTGTATCGCGTGGGAGGTGGCCGGATCTGGCACGAGCGCCTGATCCTGGCGTTTCAGACGGTGCCGCCCTTCGGGACAGGGGTCTTGACTCCAGATGGGCACGCCTACGTGGAGGCCATCATGCAGAACGGGGCGGACATCAGGGAGTACGCGATTCCCGCCGGCGCCGCAGTCGGCGCCGTGGCCGCCGCCACAGCTGGGGATCAGGTCTACCGATTCCGTGGTCTCCCTCTTCCGGGAGAAGTCGCGACGGGTGCCGCCTCTGTTCGAGGCACTCTTGGGCTGGGCGCTGGGCCGCCGATCGCGCTGAACACGGCAGGGCGTGGCATCGCAGCCGTGGTAGGCGCTCCGGCTGGCGCTGGGCCTGCGGGGGCCCCCGCTGCGGGCGGGGCCGGCGGCGCTCCTGGGGCTCTGGGCGGCCTGGCAGGGCTAGCGGCAGCCCTCGGAGGCGGCCCAGCAGCCGCGCCAGCTGGCGCCGCCGCCCTTGTGCCAGTGGCGGCCGCACCTGCACCTGCGGCAGGAGGAGCTCCAGCTGTCGTGCCTCTTGGCGGAGGAGGGGCGCCCCCCGCTGCTCCTGGCGCCCTTGGCGGCGCCGCCGTGGCGGTGCCGGCCCCTGGGCCTGCCGCCGCCCCCGCGCCTGCCGCAGGTGGTGGCCCTGGTCCTGGTGGCGTGGCCGCAGCTCTGGCCGCCATCGCTGGCGCTCCAGGAGGCGATGCTCGGATTCAGTCGGTCGCCTTCGACACGCAGGGGGTGGGATATGTGGACTTCCGAGCTGCAGTGGTTCGCCTTCACGAACTGCCATGGGGCGATTGGTCTCTCAAGGGACCTCGCGCGCTGCTATGGGTGCTGAGCTTCATATGCCGCAATGGGGGAACGCCCCTTGGCAGGCACGCGAAGTGGGTTTCGGAGGGGTACCTGGAGGCGGACGATCCTGGAGTGGACATCCACTTGCTGTGCTGCCGCCTCCTCGAGCTGGGCGTGGTCTACGATCAGCTCCACGTGACCAACATTGCGGCCATGGAGTTGGTCGGGCGGACCCTCCAGACGCAGGAGGAACTGTACCGAGACAGGTTCGCGGCGTCTTCGGAATTCGGCTCAGACGCTGCGCTGATGTCGGGTGCTCTGGACGCTGGCGGCAACGTGTGCGTAGCCCCTGCTCTGAGGGACTGGCTGGCCGCCGAGAAGGCGCGCGAGGCCAACATAGCCAAGGAGCGGCGCAAGGCACGTGAGGAACGACTCCTCGCAGCCGGCGGCAGCTCTGGCGACGGGCGCGGCAGCGATGGCCGAGGTCGAGGGCGCGGCCGCGGCCGCGGACGAGGCAGAGACGGCGGGAGGGGCGGCCGCACAGCCCCAGACGGCCATGGCTGAGAAGCACCAGGGGGGGGCACTTGGGCCAGCCTCTCCCTGGGACAGGAGTGCGGCTTCGGCCGCAGGCCCGGGCGCGCGTGGAAGTCTCCGACACCGAGACGTCTTCCCGCTGCCGTCCCCCGCTGCTGCTGCCGGCCCACCCTCGTCGCCAGGCAGTCGCCGCTCGGCTAGGCGCGCTGGGTATCGCCTTCATCGGGAAGAGAGGGTTCGCTCAGCCGTCAACGCACTTAATTCGCTCTATGGTTCTCGGTCCTCGCCTCCAGCTGCGGCTCACGTGGGGCAGCGCCAGGCCATCATGCACATCACGGACAGCATCGACGAGCTTGGGCGCCCGCCGCCAGAGTTCATGTCTGGTAACGCTGCCGAAGACGGAGCCCTCCGGGAGCTCCTCTCTTGCGCCAACCTGCACGGTACTGGCGCCGCGACGTCGACCCCCTACGTCAGCGACAGAGTCGCATGGCCTGCCGCGGGTGGGACCCCAGTGGACATCGTCGAGCTGGTGCCGCCCGTGGATAGGGTCTGGCTGGAGGGTTGGCGGAGTCATATGCTTCGAGATCCGCGTGCTGCTGCTGCTCTGGCCAGGGAGGCATGCCCGAAGGGGCCTTTTTGCGATCCCGCCCTGACGCGCGACGTGAGCACGTACGGTCGTTTTTTGATTCAGATGTACGAGAGACAGATGGTCAACTTCGCGGCGGACTCCGGTCAGCCGCACACCGTCGGCCTCTTCTTCGTTCCCAAGAAGACGGGGGCCCTCCGCATCATTTTCGACACGAGGGCCGCCAACTGCAAGTTTCTAGACGCGCCCAGCACTCGGCTACCTTCGGCTTCAGCCTTCAGTTCGATCGAGGCGCCGATCGAAGGCATGTACATGTCCACCTGCGACCTGGAGTGCGCCTTCTACCACATGAAGCTCCCTGAGGGCATGGAGGTGATGTTCACCTTGCCGCCGATCAAGGCGGGGGTGCTTCGGGAGCTCGGCCTCATGGACCTCGACTTCGACCCGTTGGTGTCGCTCTCGCCCCAGGTTATCGTGCTTCCTATGGTTTTTCGTGGGCATTGCATCTTTGTCAGGCTGCTGCTCGCACCGTGCTGTCGGACGACGGCCACTCTCTGGATCAGACCGCTCAGGATGGCAATCCTGGGGTTAACGTGGTTGAGAAGAATGCCGTGGGGGTGGCCGCCTACGTCGATAACATCCTCGTCTTCGGCGGCTGCAAGTCCTTGGTGGATGCGACTATGAATAGGCTGGTGGGCACCTTCAGGAGGCGCGGACTTCCAGTGCACGAGATCGAGAACGCTGCTCGGAATGCCGACTTCCTTGGCCTCAGCCTCCGCGGTGGAAGATATCTTCGCATCAAGCCTCGGAACGTTTGGAGACTCCATTTTGCGATATCCAGTTTGTTGAGGCGTGGATGGTGCTCCGGCCACATGATCCGTGCGGTGCTTGGTCACGTGGACGTCGATGATCCGCAGAGAGGTGCTCACCGTGCTGCACAGCTCCTATGGCTACGTCGGCGCCTTCGGCCCGAGGCACGGCAAGCTCTGGCCGTCAGTGATCAAGGAGCTCATTCTCATTAGGGACCTGCTCCCGATTTTGACCTGCGACCTGACTGCAGAGTGGCATGCCGTGATGACGGCCAGCGACGCCTCTCCCTTTGGCCTCGGCGTCATGCGACGGCGGGCGCCTGCTGCTACTTGTGCTGCAGTGGGGCGGTGCTCGGAGCGGTGGCGCTACAAGGTCGAGGGCGGGCACCAGGCTCGCCTGCGGTCGCTCAAGGCAGGAGAACTGGTGGTTGATGAGGGGACAGGCGAAAACAGACAAAATCCGCCCTCTCTCTCCACCTCTCATGCCAAGATCCAGCGGTAACGGGGAGCACTCTGAGGAGCACCTGGGCAGCTTGGGGGGTCACGCGTTGAAGAATCCAGAGGACATCCAGGAGGCCTGCACCTTGGGCGTCCACGGTGAGGGCTTGGGCATCCCTGTGGAGCACAACATGACCGAGGCCCTGAGGTTCAGCATGGACCCTTGGGAGCTCGACGAGGTACCTGGGCACATTACACGCAAAGAAGCCTGGAAGAGCGTCAGTGCACAGTCGGTGTCTCTGGGGGCCAATATTCTTTACCTTGAGGGCGGGGCCTTAGTCACGTCTTATCGGCACCTTCTTCGTAACTTGGGCAGTCACGGCAAGCGTATGGTGGCTTTAGTCGACAACCTGCCCTTGGCTCTTTCTTGTACGAAGGGGAGAGCCCGCTCGAGTTTCTTGAGGTCATGTCTCAACCAGTTGTGCTGTCTGTCGTTAGCCACGGGCTCGAGGCTTTGTGTACGCTGGATCGCTTCAGAAAGGAACCCATCAGACTCGCTCAGCCGTGGGAAGCTGGGTTGGTTCAGCGGCCACCGTCATCTTAGTGATGCTCGGACGGCTGGTCGGCGGCTGCGTCGCACTCTCTGTCCTGCTCTTGCTGATCACGAGGGCGGAGGCGATGCCGCGACAGGGATCGCGCACCCCTTCGGCCTTGACGAGGCACCGCGCGATCCTGGCTGCCAAAGCCACGGGCGGGAGCACCGGCACGCTGGCCATGAGCCTGCTGGAGCAGCAGGCGGTGAGACTGAACACAGAACGCTGGCCATGAGCCTGCTGGAGCAGCAGGCGGCGAGACTGAACACAGAAGCCTTCTACCGGCAGCCGCAACACACGTTCGTGAGCTACTGTGCGGACCGCCACCTGGACTGGAGCACGTTGGGCCAGTTGGACTCGATCCTGGCGGAGTACCTCGCCGCGCGCCACCTGGCGCAGAGGCTGACGCCCGGCCGCATCGTGCAGCCGTCCATCGGCGCGGGCGCCGCGCTCCAGTTCTGGGGCCTCCTGCTGCACCCCGCAGACCGCGGCCAGGGCGGGATGACGGGGGCGTTCGACGTGCCGATCCCTCTCGATCTCGACCTGTACCTCGCGCCGGTCCTCATGGCGCTCCGCCTGAAGGGGCCTGTCGCGACGCCTCTGTGGGGATTCAGTCTCGGCCGGCGGAACCTGATGTTCTTTCTTGCGGCAATGACCCTGGGCATCAACCACTTGCGCCCCCACTTGTTCAGGATGAGGCAGGGCGGAGTGAGCTACGACCTTTTGACGCAGAGGCGATCGATGGAGCGGGTGCGCCGCAAAGGCCGCTGGGCCGTCATGTCGTCGATGCGGCGCTACGCGAAGGAGACGGCTCTTCTGCGCGAGCTTCAGGACGGGGCGGAGGTCGTGCACGCGTTCGGCCACCTCGTGGAAGGGCGTTTCTGCGAGCTGCTGGAGATGGGCTTCCTCAGAAACTGGCGCCTCGCCCAGGTGCCCTCCCAACTAGCGGAGGCGATGCAGCTCTGCGGCCCGGCGCGCGGCAGGCGGGCTCAGAGGAGGCCCGCAGCTGCGGCGCAGTGAGTGCTGCAGGCGACGCCGTCCGCCAGCACCTGAGGCGGCGTTTAAAGGAGGCTGTGCAGCGGGGATCGCTCTGTCGCAGGCGCGTTGTGGTAGAGCTTTTCAGCGGTTCAGGCCACTTCACCGCCGCGGTGCGCCGACTCGGCCTCTCGGGTCTGGGACTCGACATCAGGCATGGGCCTCTCGAGGACCACCTCGACGCCACTTTCGAGGAGGTCATCGTCGGATGGCCTTGTAGCCACGCAGTCGCCGCTGTTTTCTCTTTTGCTGCTCTTTCTTTTTTTTTCTTTTTTCTTTTCTTCTTTTCCTTTTCTTTTTTCTTTCTTTTCTTCTTTTCTTTTTCTTCTTCTTCCTCTTTCTTCTCTATTTCTTTTTCTCTCCTTCTCCTCTCTTTTTCTCTTTCTTTTTTCTTTTTTCTTCTCTTTTCTTCTCTCTTTCTTCTTCTATTTCTCTTTCTTTTTCTTCTCTTTCTTTTCTTTTCTTCTCTTTCTTTCTTTTTTCTTCTTTTTTCTTCTCTTCTTTGCTTCTTTCTTTTCTTCTCTTTCTTCTTTTCTTTTTCTTTTCTTCTTTCTTTCTAGGGACGCCCTGCACCACCTGGTCGCGGGCTCTCAGGAGGCCCCTGAGATCTCGCGACCACCCAATGGGATTCCATCAGTTGAGCACTTCCGAGAGAGCCCGCCTACAGCAGGGCAGCGCTTCCTTTGCGTTCACGTGCCGCATCATCAGACTGTGCAGTCGTCTAGGGACTCCTGTGATGCTGGAGAATCCAGCGAGCTCCTTGATGTGGTATGCCCGCTCTCTGTCTCGGCTCGTTCACTAACCTTCTGCACGCAGTTGTGATCTAGACCAGTGCCAGTATGGTGCACTTTGGCGGAAGCGTACGAGAATCGTTTCATGGCATGCTGGCCCTGTTGAATCCTTCTGCCGCGTGTGCCAGGGGAGACGCGGGCTGCGCTCACGCACTGCCAACAAGCATGTAATTCTGCCCGGCCAGAGCCCTGCAGGATGTAAGTACACTGCGCTCGGGGCTGCATATCCGGCTGTCCTTGCTAATGCTCTTGCAAATGTAATCAAGCGCGCTGTGCTCAAGGCGCCGCAGCAAGCGATGGCTAGCCTAATCAGCAAGTAGCGTGTCTCCGTGCTTTCTCGCTTCGGCATCGAAGTGCCTTTTTACTTTTCGGCCGCCTCTGCCATTCTGTCAGTGGCGGCCAGAGCTTCCTTAGGGGTTCGGGAACTCTCTATCTGGTCTGACCTCTGTGCAGTCTGCTCCGTCGCCCAGCTGCTCGCCGGGAAATCATCTCATGGCAGTGTCTACTGCCCTAGCCTGGCTCGCACTCGACACATACAGTAAAAAAGAGACAGAGCCCCTTCAGTCCTCAGGCCCCGCGTGAGAGGCTCTGTAGATCTTTGTTCTGGTCCAGCTCTGGCGCTCGGGATCCTCGAGGCGGGCCGTCCAGTTTTGAAACGCGAAGCGGAGCCGGGCGGAGAGAGAGCGCCGCATTCGTCTGTGCCTGCCCCGCTGGCATTGGGCTCAAAGTGCACCCACCGACGTGCCGCCCTGGCCCTTTTGGCCCGTCTATAACTTGCTGCTCATCGCGCCTGTCATGGGAACTCTCTATCTGGTCTGACCTCTG